CTTGGCTGCAGTCTCCATTCTGATCATTGTCTACACTGAATTTATGTAGATTCTCCATGGTCATTATTTTTGTCTTTTTTATGTTTAGCAGCAAGCCTGCCTTTGCACTTGTTCTCTGACCTTCCCTAGTGATTATTCCAAGTCTATGATATTTTCCACCAGTAGTATATCTTAGATATGTCATCTGCATATCTCAGATTGTTGATGTTCTTTCCTCTTATCTTTACTGCTCCTTCTTCTAAGTCTAAACCTGCTCTTTGTATGATATTTTTTGTGTACAAGTTGAACAAGTAGACTAATAAGATGCAGCCTTGTCTGACCCCCTTTCCAATTGGGAACCATTCTGTTTCTTCATATTCAGTTCCAACAGTAGCCTCTTGTGCTAAGTACAGATTTTTCATCAGGACTATCAAATGTAGTGGCACTCTCCTGTCTTGGAATCCATAGCTTTTTGTGATCTATGTGATCTATGCAATCAAAGACTTTGCTATTGTCTTTAAAGCACATGCTGATTTTCTTCCGGAATTCCTTGGGGTGCTCTATTAAGTATTGTATGTTTTCAATATGGTCCCTGGCGCCTCTTTCATTCCTGAACCCCACTTGTACTTTTGGGATTTCTCTCTTCATATATGATTGGATTATATGTTGCAGAATTTTGAGCATAATTTTGCTTGTGTGGGGAATAAATACTATGGTCCTATAGCTGCTGCAATCTTTTGTGTCTCCTATTTTATGAATGGGAATGTATACTGATTGTTTCAGTTTGTTGGTCAACATTTTGTTTTCCATATCTGTTGGCATATTTTAGTTAGCACTAGAGTTGATTATGGGCCTCTACAGATGGCACTTTGCGCCATCTTGGAGGCAGGGAAGGGGAGGAGCAGCCAGCCGCCGGCTGCCCCAACCCTTTCCAGAGGATGTCATTGGAGCGCGCCACCATTGCACATGGTGAGCGCTCCGATGACATTCTTCCACCGCAGCCTCTGGACATGCTGCAATGGAAGAGACGCACAAGAGGTGCGTGCCGCCTCTTCCGGCGCCCTTTCCGTGCCTTGAGGAAGGAGCGCTATTTTAGTGCTCCTTCCTGGATTGGGGCTGACAGCCTCAGCCAAAATCCACCGCTTCTCAGGGCGGCCCACGGCCACCCATCTGCATCCCCCCTATGTCTGTGTGGACTGAAACAATTCTTTTAGAACAGGGGTAGGCAACCTTTCCCCTTTAAGGGCTGAGGGACTTCAGCTCCCAGAATCCCAGGAGCTATTGGCTAACATGGGACTATTGACCAACATGGCTGAGGCTTCTGGGAGCTGAAGTCCCTTGGCCCTTAAAGGGGAAAGGTTGCCTACCCCTGCTTTAGAATATCATCTGTTCCTGGTGATTTATTCTTCTCAGGCCAAATTCCCTCTAGAGAATATACCGGTTTTTGAGTTGAATTGATGAAGGGATTTAGCACCGAATAGACATTCACACTATTCAAGCAGCAATCGAACCTAACCCATTTCAATTTAATCCACTTCGCGTTCACATTCATCAATGAATCGATTCAATATGGTGTCACGTCACAGGGCTGATCATGCAACAGGGAAACAATTCAGATTCGCAGCTCGTTCACACTAGTGCCGAATCGATTCATTGAAAAATATGCGG